ATTATTTAAGAACATTATGAAAGTTATAAAAGAAAGTTTTCCGCGGCAGTAATTGTATGTAATCATATGGTACAATAAACATACGATTGACTGTTGAAAATACAATGTTGTTGTCATATTTGTAACAATCCGGTCATGTATGGACACGGATATTGCGCCAATGATATTCGTTATGGTGTCACATTCCCATAGTCGCATCACTTTCACTAGGACTACCATAAATCTATGCGTTATCATATCGAGTTCTGGCTATCATATTTATTGTTTCGTTTTTAACAAGGGATTAATAAAAATAAAGTAAAGCACTAGCCAATTTTTTACTGTGGAGAATATCTATAAAAATCCTGTAAAATACGAAATAGGAAGGACTTCAAATATAAAGATTTTGGTAATACATCCTATGACCGGCCCTTGTGAAAGTTTTTTTAATTTCTGCGAAACGAACGAGCTTACCACTACGCTATGCGACATAGTTAATTAGGATATAGATAATAATATCCTGTTATTGTATAATTGTAATTGGTCTTCTTGATATATAAATAGATCATTCATCATATTACACAGTTGTAAGTTTTCCAAAGAGAATAAAAACAAAATTATATCATTTATCTTTTATAATGCAATCTAATAATAATTTCACAAAAAGCAGTTGTTAATACCTACACTGTATTATTTCTTATATTTCCACGCAAATTATCCATAATACCTACACTGTACATAATTTAACTACCTATTGAGGTTAGTAGAGATTCAGTGAAAAGAATATCCGATGAACGATGCAATACACGTTGTAACCACGGAACAGAAAAAAAGAGGTTGTAACAAAACACCATCGTGCCAATTTTTTTTTTCATTTCTCTATAGAATTTAACAAGAGGAAGTCCAGATGAAATATCATATTTTTATGACAGCACACAAAATGTCTGCCAGGTAAATAGTAATGGTATACTAGACAAACTTTACTGGCTCAAGGTTCATAATGTTTATTTATTAAAATTGGAATTAGTGACTTTATATTAGATTCCAAATGCGAACACGGAAGTGACTGAATTAGTATTGTTTTAGTTTAGAAACCTCGTCTCGTCGTTTGTTATACTTAAGTATTTGTAGACCTGTAAATCTCTTAAATTCTTCTCCTTGTTTTCTTTTGGATATTTTCAGTTACGACAGTGATAATAATAGCCCAAATGAATAGTAAACTTTGAAATACAAACATTCTGAGGTGTTTGTTTTTGATTATTAATAGAATGTAATTTCAAATATATTTTTTTTTGAAAAAGTCAAAAATATTCATTTTGAATGAAATCGCCTCATTTCTCTGCCAGAATTCGGACGTGGAACTTTCTAGTTTTCTTTGTTTTATTTATAAAACCGAATAAAAAGTTTGTGTATTACTTTTTAAGGTTAAATACAGAAATACCGTTACCTGAGCAGCTACTCTAAAACAATATAAAATGAGAATAAAGAAGGTTAAATTATTCAGAACACCCTATTATTATAAGGTATTGTTATTTTCACTTACTATAATTATTCTACTCATACCTCCACTTCATCTACAAAGATTAACTTCATTAATATTACAAGCACACAGTAAGGGCACATATGTACCTATATCATATCGAAAATTATACTTAGAAAGCATCGAAACGTGCTTGTGATGTCATATCACTGCAGTATGAAAGCTGCGCATGAGAGCACGCTTTGACACAGCGCGGCGCGACCTATGCGCGTGCGCACTTTCTACTACCACGACATTACATTCGTTTTTGCAAACTTTTCGCACACTATCATAAACATATCATAAAGTGATGTCTCGTTTTGTTCTAATCTTGATCAAGATTATAAATTAGTTCTTACATTTTTTTTATACTAAATTGTTACCTATATTAAGTTTTGTGTTATAAGAAGGCATTACAAATATTTTTTTTTATATTTCCGTTATATTTTAATGTTTACTTTATTCTAAATAATTAGATTCTACTGTATTATTATTTAACGTGTAAAGTTACTTGTTTTAACAACAGTCACAACATTATTTGAAATAAAAGTTGGAATAAATATTATTATATAGTATGTCCTATTTATATGTAGAAATTTTAAAAATAACAAAGAAAATATGCATAACTTGTATTCCACCAGTGGCATTCGCCCTCGTGGTCCTGTATTACAAACTTTCCTTTTGAATCATCACATCTATTTAAAAAATCGTATCAAAATCCTTTGCGTAGTTTTAAAGATCTAAGCATACATAAGAACAGACATGAGCTAAGCTTTAAATCCTTGTTAAGGCTTAAACTACATAGTATAGTAAAAAACAATATAGACATATCTATAGTTATCGGCAGGGATAGTAGAAATAAATATTAGATAATATCTGATAAATTGCTCAGATTTCAAGATGAGTACTTAGTTAAAGCCTCTGTATTATGGATTATCTGAGATAACGAAGGAACCACAACACCCAATTCTGAGACAGTATAGAAAAATTTATTTTCAACATTGAACCGACCGGGAATCGAAACCGGGACCTCATACTTAACGCAATTTCCCTCGTCAATAACCCTCCTTGTGTTGCAGTAGGCTAGGGTAAAAAGAGAATAAAATGCTATATCAATTTTTAACATATTATAATAGAAAACGTATAGTAAACTAAGAGCGACAACCTTGAACTTGTTTATAACTGCAGTTGGTAACACTTTCGTTAGGACTCACATTTTTCGATTTCGGCGCAGCGCTACAGAATTTAAATGTGACTGCGCCATACGTAAGAAAGTCCAATGCGTATAAATAAACGTTGTCGTCGAAACGTAAATGGTTGTAGACATATTTGATAAAATAATGGACGTGTAAAAAGTACTTTGGTGGAGAAAGTATAAGTAACACAAATAATTTATTACCATTCGATTAATATTTGTAGTAGAATTGATCATATCAACATCAGCATATTAACGCCTCAAAACTGAGGTAAAGCCTACACGAGAAAGCTTATGACTAAAAAGAGAAGCTTATGACTAAAAAGAGAATGTTAAAATTGTGTATAACACCTATTAACGCCTCAAAACTGAGGTAAAGCCTACACGAGAAAGCTTATGACTAAAAAGAGAATGTTAAAATTGTGTATAACACCCGTTAAATATATACAACTATATTGCTAGATAGTGATTGACAAAGCGATCACTTTATTTATTATACGGTCAGTTGCAAAAGCGTCCATATAGGTTTAATGGCGCCTTTAAGCTCTAAAAAAAATGACAAATTTGTATCGGTAATATAACTTTAAATTAATGTCTATTTTAATGGACGTGTAACTGCCTGATAACTGTTCTTCCGCGACTTCACCCGCGTAATTTATACTTTTTAAAGTCGGACCATTTGCAGAGTCAATTCAATACAAACAAATGATCAAATCAATCCTCTTTATGTTGTTATTTATTAAAAGGTAGTTTTTGTTTTGATTCAATAGAATAGCACGAACTTGAACAAAAGTACAACCGATGAAGAAAAAGTTTCTATATTACATTTACTTCTGAATAAGCAATTAATGACCGAAATACCTACTGTATCGTCGTCGTGAGTATGTACTTATTTATTTACTTACGACACGTAATAGATTACAATCAATTCCATTACAAATCTCATTAGGATTAAGTCAGACTTAAAAACAAATGGATGGAATAAGCAATATCATATCACCGTGAGAAATCTTTATCTGACAAGCGAAAAAGAATTAAACTATTTAAATCCACAAATGATAAAAAAAATCAAGGTCACTGTAATGATGAAACAGCGGTTTCTAGAGCAACATTGAAATTGGCACGAAAGTTGGGTAATTAAAACGACAATATTATCGAAATTCTTCACCAAATACAGTCTTAAAACTAATTTTACGACACTCGATTTCTTGTGATTCAATTGGCTAATGGACTAAACAAAATACCACGATTTCATGCAATAAGCAGTTCTAATAATACATTTCTTCATTTAATGTAGTTAATTGATAACTTATGCTAGTAACTAAGGGTTTAGTTTGAAGCCACAAGCCTGAATGACGTCATTCCCATCACCAGTTTTTTACTCATTAAATATTTAAATTATATATACGTAATGTTACTATTAGTTTCTCTAAGCCATTGTTGGCGTAACTTACAATTAATTCATTACGTAATGAAAATATTGGAATTTACTTACTATAACATTTCATGATGTTGCCAAAACGGCCCTACTCAAATCCCTGGGCCAATTTTAAAGTAAATTAATACATAAATAGTTTGAGGCTGGGGAAGGCAGGCTGCATGGTCTGATTGGTGTGCAGTATACACACTGAACAGCTTAATAATAACATAACTTTTACAGAGTTTTTGATTCAATAAAACAGAGTACCTCGGAAGAAAAGTCGCCAAGCCAGGGCTAGCACTGATATATATATAACAAATTCGCTTGTAAACTTGTAAACCAATCAATGAATTTTAATGTGGTTTTCATGAATATAAAGTGATTCAAGGGGAACTTTTGGCGAAGTCGCTAGCGGAAAGTTAGTTATTGTATAATTCACAGATTATAAATATAGCTAAAATGCGTTTTTTTGTAGTCTTTTCTTGCATTTCGAAAACAGACGACATTTGTGACCACCAATAACTGTCCACCACATTAATTATTGGGTTACCACCAATAGCTATCACCAGTCGGCGACCAAAAGGGGAATTGATTTCCTGACGCAGAGCCGGCACCTTCATATAGGCAAACTAAGCGACTGCCTAGCACGCTCTTTTGTTCTTTACATTTGTCTTTCATTTTGTTTTTCGTCTTGTTATGGGCGTCGTTTCAGTGTTTTGGATAGGATTTCAAGTTTTATTGAGCCGGCGCTGTCTTAATTTCACCACTAATGTTATCTATGCCTTTTTTTGTCATAGGCGGAACGCTTTATGTACTGTCTCTTCCGCTTGACATGCGACGGGGGATGAGTGGGACTCTTCATCCACACGGACCCGACCGACGCCTCGTTAAAACGTGGATGGCATATTCAATAACACCCTCCGATGCACCCTCACTTTTAGAGGAAGGAAATGGGATCTAGCAGACTGCTCCCGAATGTTATTTATACCGCATACCATGTAAATTTTAAGACTTACCTGATTGTTGGTAGTTGCAGGGACGGCGCTTTGAGGGGGCACAGACTGGACCGGTCTCGCTGGTTTGGCGGCAGCGCGTTGTAGGGTTGCTCGCTTCACTGATACCATTAGCCACACATCTTCCACCCGTTGCGAGACCTGGATAGATCAGTAAAGTGTGTAACGTGGGTGACATTGGATATGTACACGGGAGATGGAAAACAGCTGCTGTCTCACTTTGAAATCAACACTTTACTGGTACCTTCCGTAGGTGATAGAATTTTCGTGATCGGAAAGCCTAAGCTAATATTTAAAGTAATAATCGCAAGAGTAACTCAGTAGCGTAGTGGTTAAGTAACTTTCGCAAGGGTCGGTCACGGGATGGGTGACCGAAAAGTGTTATCTTGAGCTTTTCCGTGCTTTGGAAAGCACGTTAAGCCGTTGGTCTTGCATTTGCAGTTGTTAATGCCCTCCAATCCGCATTGAGCCAGCGTGGAGGGTCATGGCCCATCCTCCTTAACCATCTACAAGGAAGGCCTGACCCCCTGCAGTGGGGACGTAAAAAGGCTGATGATGAATCCCATCTTAACAGAATCTCATCGACTTGCATTTTACAGTTGTACTATCTACCTAAAGTCCAATAATATTAGTGCAATGTCTTCCTCACACATGAATGGTGACAGATATATAATAATATTGGACTTGAATAATATTAGATAAGTCGTTGAGATTTTTATTAAGATACGGTTATTACGTAAACATTGCCAGAATTAGCCTGCAGTATTTCTGAAGATTACCCGCTTCAAACAAACAAAGCTAGCTTACTTCTTTTTAATATTATAGAGGTAGATCAATCATGGAATGGTTAACTCGAACATAGAACACGGTAATCATTGGACAGATGATCGACGCGGATAACGAACTCATAACATAATGGTTTCAATTCATAAAAATATCACTGAAAATTTAAGTTCAGACAAGGGGTTAATTCATCATTAATATAGATCATCATCAGCCTATTAATGTGCCCAATGCTGAGGCAAAAAGGAAGATTGGGCCATGGGCCAAGATCCACGATTTTAGTCCACTGCGGATTAGTGGGAAGTGTTAACGTCTGCAGATGGAACTAAGATCAACTGCTTTAAATGTCTTTTGAAACACGGAAGAGCTCATGATTATAAATATAATAAATATTAAACAATATCGCATATATGGTTCAGATTCCAAGATCAGCTTTTAAGGGGGTATTATGGAGTATCTAAGAAACAAAGGCACCACAACACCCTGACCAAAGGACACTATAGAAAAGTTCTTTGTGACTCGACCGGGATCGAATATGGGACCTCAGAGATGGCGACATCTTGAAACCGGTGTACAAACCACTCAGCTGATGAGGATAATACATTTTTAGTTACTCATCCTATGACCCAACTTTGCGAAAACTTCCACAGAACAGAACAGACGGATTAACCACTATGTACCACGCACATAATAAATAATAATAATAATACTATAATCAATTATATTCATGCACGTCTCAATTTTATTAAGACTATCAATTAAAAGTTTATGTCAATACCTGTGTGACCAATGCTCTTGTTTCTTGGGTGGCAGATTGCATGAGCATCTCTCGAAATTGCTCAGGCGCCGTAAGACCGAAGCTCCTTGCGTCTTCTAGAAGTTTGTCTACAGCTATAAGGCCGCCTTCACCCGCTAGCAACTCTACACCGGTCGTGCACCATTCGTTTGCCTGCGAAGATAATGTAATGTTATTGTTTACTACCTACCTAACACGACGTTTTTAGTAATTTATTTCCGATATAACTTTTTTTTCTTCATAATAGAACGATAGAAAAAAATACGCATAACCAATTTTCATCACTCATCAGCTCATTCATTTCATAATCACATCAACATAATTTTCTTCTCTTGCTAAAACCTTTTTTTTGGGTTTTATTTTAACATTACTTTTAAACCGTTTTAAAATGGAATAAATACGCAATTATTATTTTATACGTTGTACTCATAAGTTGTTGATTCTCAATATATCAATTTGTCTTTTTTTTTATTTTAGAGTAAAAATTTTTGAAAATGGTAGTAGTAGTAGTTTCCTCCATGAGACAAGCGAAGGAACTAAGTTGTTTTTTTATTTTTTGAAGGAACTAAGCTTTTGAAAATGGAATGTGATGTTCATATTTTTTTCTTGTCAATAGTTATTTTATTTATTTAACGCAAAGGGATCTATCTAGCTTATTATAAGAATGTTCAGGGTAACTTTAGCTCCTGTGTATTTGCACATTTGATATCGAGTCCATTTTAATGCTTCTTCACCAGATATCAAAAAATTTTAAAATAGTCTGTTTGGATTCCCACGTTTATAAGGAGCATTTAAGTATTTGTCCAAAAAATATGGAAAACTTTATTAACATTACCTTGTCTATCCTGTCCATCAGCTCTCGCGCCTTTGACAACAGCATATTTCGTTTCTGTATTTTATCAATAAGCAATGCACTCGTTCGTCTCAATTCTTCACATTTTGACTCTATGTGGTCTACCGAACTTAATGGGTCTTGCATAAGTTTTTCACCTTAAAAATGGAGGATTTATTTTTATTATGTTTTTTTATTTAAACGACTCTCGTTCACGTGTGCATCCACTGTTAACGTCAGATTGCATCCCGTTAGAAGCAAATATTGAATATGGCCACATTTGTGATAATCATGAATTCTATTTAGTTACCCACTTAAGTAAGTACTATAATTATGTTCTGCATAATTATGGGTATAAAAATTGTAAATATGTTTATCTTTAATTACTTATTTATCATTAAATATGGTAAAGTTATTAGAAAATATGTGTAACGTTATACTACAAACTGGTAGCTAGTTTATAAATAAAGTAACACATATTTAATATTCATATAAAATTTAAAGTCGGTGATAATTATCATGGACTCACTTCTTTGTTTTTGAAGTATGTTAATAAAAATTAATAAATAGCGTTTTTTTAGAATTTACCATCGTCTATAACAGAAGACGCTGTATCTAGATCACAGTTGCACAGTTTCTCGAAGTCAACAGCTTCTTGTATAAGACTATCCACTCTGTTTGCTGTCTCGCCAACTTCGGTCATATCGCATGCAGTCTTTAAATGACCATCTAAAGTTGCCTACAAAACAAAAAACATATATATATAAATTAAAAAAAATATAGAAATTTCATAAATGAATTACATTTATGTACGCTCATGTACTCTTAAATATGATTATATAACCCTTAGAGCAGGGGTGTCATACTCAAATTTGCAGTGGGCCATATACAATATTGAGAATGTATAGGCGGATCAGGTCCAAAATAAAAGAAATTCAAACATACTGCTAAATCATTCATGATCGTCGACTTGATTTAGAAAAAGTCATACAGTGCATACGTTTTTAATCTTCCCTAGAGGCATACAGTGCATTTTTAAGTCTCTAAAAACAAGATTATTTCTTGTCATCGAGGGCCATATTGATAAAGCCAGTCGAAGAACTTTGACATGACTGCACTAGAGCACTACATTATTACCTCATTGCATAATACCAAATACTGTTACTTAAAACCTTTTTTAATATAAAAAAAGTTATATTAAAAAAGTTTTTCATTTATAAATGCGACCACAGATAAAAAACATAAGCAGCGATGACATATTGTCAAAGAGAAGTATAAAATTAAGGAACTATGCATGCATAATTTATACCTTTAAATATATATAATATTAGTGTTGTAGATTTCTTTCAATTTTGGTTGAGTTAATAGTTATGACGATGGATATGGTATGTAATTTTCGTAAATGCAGACGTTCTCTTTCACATCAAGCTTGGGTGACAACTTGTTCACATGCATTTTGTGTAGAACACGGTAAGAGAGAGTTCAAGAGAAATGCTGATAATTCACTGACATGTCCTGCTTGTGGAAACGAATTGCGAGATAAATTTGATGTGATTCAAGCAGATCTTAAACCGAGTGAAACGTTCAAATCTATAGTGTTAGCCGGATTGAAACCAGACACGGTCATGGATGTCGCCATGCGTGCTATGTCATTTTGGTCATACCAAGTAGAACAAGAGACTCTCTACCAAGAAAGTATGGCGAAACATGCACATGAAAAACTTCAGTGCTTGGAAGAAATCAATACTTTAAACTTACAAAAGCTTAAAGCTGAATTAGACAATTGTAAACGAAAAGTTGTCTCTTTGCAGACTGAATATAACAAAAAACGAAAGCAGGCAGAGGAGCTCACTGCTAGTTTAGAAGAAAAGAATAGAAAAATCCAAAAGTTGACATATCAACTTGAAACCCATAAACGGAAAGATATTAGGGATAGTTTTGATTGTAATAATCAAGAAAAGTGCTTAGATATTTCAGATTTAGTGGGCAAGAGAGCAGTTTCTGAAGCTTTCGTATTTAGACCCACGAAAGAAGCCGATAACTCTCATCCTAAGATATGTTCACCGAAAACACCTATGTTCGATTTTCGCAATAAAAGTAGACAGAAACCTCATTTCCGATTTCACCCCGTACCTTCGTAATTATAAATCTATTTTATATAACAGTAAGTTACATTGGTGAATGCTAACAATTAGGTAGACAATAAGAAAAAATTAGGTAATCATTGTGATGTGACTAACCTGCATTTGTTTAAAATTTAATAAAAACGTTCTAAATTGAAGCCAGTGATTTAATTTTGTGGAATGTTTTTGCCAGAAAGTATCAAATTGTTTTTCAGTCTCATCAAGTTGCACCAATAACCTGAAACATAATAATAACTGTTGTTTTATACTTGAATACTTTAAGACAGTTTTTTGTTATTAATTATTTAATTTACTACTCTTACGAATTTACATAACACTCTAGGCATTAAAGTTCAGGAGTGGGTGCTTGCTATGTCACAACTATGTAGAAAATCTACAAAGGTCATATGTGACGTCATGTGACATTCTAACTCAATATGTAGCCGTAAATTAATCGATGACGCAAATATTAAAAAAGAAAATTAATATTCAATAATCTGCCTGAAGGTTCTTCTGAACAAAAATTTGTCATCATCTTTAATATGGTTACGGGGCGTCCATTTATCACGTGATGTTTTTTCAACATTTTTTGACCCCCTTCCCCTTGTATCACACAAGGTTTTAGACTACCCCTCCCTCTTTCAACCAAATCACGTGTATTAAAAAAAAAATCTTAATTTTTGACGTCGCTTTTCGGTTTAATAATCGCGCGTCGAGGAAAAAATAATATACGTGATATATTACCTTATTGTATTTCGTGATTTTTGACGAATCTTGACGAATCCATTTAAAGCCTCACGTGATTAATGAACGGCCCCTTATATAAGAAATAGAATAGGCCTTCAGGTGTCATGTTAATTTGTAAGAGTTATAATTACGTGTTTTACCTTTCAACAGCAGCAACATGACTAATAATATTATATGTTAGATTTGGTTTTCGCACTTGCGTCAACAACTCTTCGCCTTGCGTCGTCGCCGAGGCAAGCTCGGTTTTTAAAGCTTTATACCTGTAAACAAATATGTTTTCTTAGTTTGTGTGTCAATTTTTGACCAAAAAAATCATAAATGGATATCCTTATGGACTAAATATGGATAAGATAGATAGATAACAAAGACAAAACAACTGCGCGACGCAAAGGAGGGTATGTATTTAAGTTTGTTTTATGTGGCGTTCTAGAGACCAAATGCGTAGGCCGATTTTGATGATTCTTATGTCAATCGATTCGTCCTAACCTTGCGAGTGTCACTAAAGACATGACAGTAATTCACCACAGCGATAACCAGACGCCATATTGACTAAATGAAAAAAATAAAAATCGATGAACTATGTCAAGTGAGGTGTCGTTGAATGGGTATTTTAAAATCATCTTTAGGTTCCTTTTATCATTTTAAATAGTTTAGGATATATAACGATTTAAAGTTGTTTGATAAAACATTCTCGCTAATTTTCTTACTTATTGATTTAAGTTTTTATTTATATACAAACAAAAAAAAACAGTGAAAAATCATGAAGAACAAATATTTTAGGTAAAAAATAAAGCATATGTAGCTTTGAGCCGAGTTAGAACTCTAGAGGGACTAATCATCAGTAGTTTAGACAAGTTACTTAATAATCCCCACGATATTAATTCCCTCAACGAAATAACTTGATTGCGAAATTTACCATCTTATAACGAAGTCAACGAATCGTAACTAAAAAGTATAAAATAAAAATAAATCATTTAACTTAAATAAAAAAAAATTAAAAAGCAAAACTAAAATATGGTAAAAATGTTGCTACATTTTTACCATATTCCCAAATTTCGTTCAAAATGTGAAGATCTAACGATGGAAATTGTTTTTATTTCACGCCAACGTAGACCCCCGTTGTATCCCTCGTGGACCTCTGGAGGTCCACCTGGACCACTCAGGGAATCACTTATTTAGACCATACACAGTGAAAGTAATGTTATTTGATACGAAAACGTCCCTTAAATATTTTTCAACTTAAAGCTCACGTTTTATCACAGAAACTGTGAGCTGTTTACGTTTGTGGCAGACATCGAATCAAACCGCCCAAACTTACCTAGTTTCTTGAGAGTCTAATAATTCTTTGGTTTGTGTGGGATCGTTCCCCATATCGCAGTCGACAATCTCGTGCATAAAGTTATCAAGTTTCCCCGATATCTCCTTCATCAACGTCGAAAATTTATCTAAAGCCTAAAAAATAAAAATCGTAGATGAATATAAAAATTTACAAAACTTGTTAATGTTATATTAAGATCTAGTGTCAGTATTTCGTAATGGCGATCGGCACATGACGAAATTCCACGATATCAACACAATATTCAGTGCGCAAGGATAAACATCATTTAAGGGTCTAGCTTAGTAACTATACATGCACCTATTATCTTAAATTTTAGAAACTATAAATATTTGTTTAGTCATTGTATAACACGATTAGAATGGATGTCAAGTGTATCTATTGGTTATTTACTTTTATATGTAGGTATACTAATATTATAAAGAGGAAAGATTTGATTGTTTGTTTGCACCGAATATGCTCTGATATTGCCGGATCGATTTTAAATATTGTTTCTCCTACGGGAAGTAACATCATTACGTGGATGACATAGTCTGTAATTTACGCGGGCGAAGTCGCTAGTATCGCATAAAGGCGTAATTAACGACACTTCTAACTTAATAAGTTTCACTTTGGTCAAATATGGTGTTTGGTATCCCAAAACAAAGTTTTAAGTATCCTGTAACCTTATGTAATCCCAAAATCTTTAATCTATTTCTTGCACAGCGAAAACCGCCGCGGTTTCTTATAGTCAAATCTATTTGAATATGTTTCAAAACATATTATGGGTTTATACTTACTATTCGCTGTTGTATCCACTCCGAATGTGAATACTGCAACTCCCCACTGAGGTCGGGAGTAAGTTGAGATCTGTCAAAGTGCTCGTAAAGTTCTTCTACGGAAGAGCATACGTGTACTCTAAACCTAAACTCTTCCTTAAAGAGTTTACTGGACACTTCTGACAATGCCTTCTGGATAAAACTGGCTGGCCGGAGGACGTACACAGCATGTATCATACCCGGAAAAAACTCCTGAAATTAGTAATAACATCATCAGTTCCTTTTTGTTTATGAGAAAGTTTATTATAATAATTTAAATATACTTACAGATATTCTTAATAATACTGTTTTCACCGAGTTCCATCTGTCTTTTCTCCGATCAATGATTACGTGGAAGCCCATATCCGCTTCAAGGATTCTGGAAAAGAAAATATAAGATATGACATTTCAAGTGTCGTCTCTCTTTAGTAAGGAAGCAGCGAGTCCTGCGTTATTTTGGCAATATGATAAGAGGAGATGGCGAAAATTTTAAGAGTGCGTCTTTATTTGAAATACACAAGAGATTATGTGGCCGTTCACCAATGCGATGGAACGGCCAACTGAAGAATGTTCACCCCACAGATTTCACGAGGTGGTATGATACGCGACCAATGGCGGAAACGCATTCGTGCTCATTAAATAACCACCAAAAAACGATGGATAAAACCAAGATGAAATTATATATAAATTCTTATAATATTTTTCGTGTTAAATTATTGGTACTCGCTTATTTTTCATATTGTCTGAATTCCAAATACTTACATAATTAGAGAAAAAGAGGTGTACTTACGAGGGTACAGAGGTGAGGTAGAGTAACAGTCGGCGGTATTCGGTCGTAGATAGGAGATGGAAGTTGCCGTTGTCGGGGAAGGTGACGAGCGGTCGATGGTCTCGTGCGAGGCCTCCGGTAGCCAACGCATATTGCGGCAGCAACAGCTCTCCAATGCTTCGGCCCTCGTCGGCCTCGCTCCCGCAGCCGTCGCATTCTGCTTCTGAGGAGAACAAATCAATGAAATCAATAAAGCACGTTTTTCTATAGCTAGTATTCAAATTCAATAATTATTTTTATGAAAATTAAAAAGGTGGCTCCTTAATAAGGATAGGGCCTTTTTGAACTTTTATATATCTAAGTGATGTGATGCTTTGAATTTTTTTTTACAAAATTTGCACGGACGGTAGTTTATTAAATTTGGCAAAGAGTAGAATTGTAGAAAGATAATGTTTTTTTTTTTATAAAATGCTTAAAATATAGAGATAATATATTGTTCATACTGCAACGCGTTTACATTTAAGTTTACTGAAAGTCTAATAATAACATAGATAAGAATAAAGTCTTATATAATAAGTTAAACAATAAGAACGTTGAAACTTAATGGTCAAATTGCCGCTGAGCGGTTTAAGAAAAGGTTTTTAAAATTCTGTAAACTTTTCAACCCATGAAAAATAGAGGAGTTACTCTAATCGACGCGTACAGAAGTACATTTTATGGGTCCCAAAATGTATTAAAATCGGATTAATAGTTTATCGGTTGTGCAACTAACAGTTAGACAAATGGTACCTCATGTAACAATAATAACATTGAGCTATAAAAATTGAACATATTGGTTTGGAATTTCCATGGCTAAAAAATAATATAATCACGCCATCTGTTATTGTTTACGCCGTCGTGGGATTCTACTTTTCCACTTTAACGTAAAAATTAAAAATTTTGCCTTCCCTAATGTTTTCCAAAATTCCATCATCAAAATATTAATTCGATGATGGTTATGTTGAATTATCACAAATATTGGTGATATAGTTCCGATTCTTAAGGAGTTTGAAAGCCGAGTGATTCGCGGTCGTCGACCTAACAGACGCGTGCAAAGGTCAAGACGTTAATGCGGACTGCCGCTATATTAGGGTTCATTTTGATAATACCAGTTAAATAACACAAGTATGTAATCTAACTGAATATTTTCCTATTTATAAATCGAACTCTTTTAAAAAGTTAATTTTAATATATAAAACAGGTATCATGATATTTCTTTTTTTTATTTTATAGTAGACATCAGTGGGTCGAGTGCCTAATTCTATAGCCATAGATATTTTTCGACATCTTAGCGATGTTATGACGATATATTGTTTCATTTTACTACTTTAACTAACGACCTTCGAATTATAAAGAATGATGATTATAGATTTGACAGCAGTGTACACGAACTTAGTTACCTTTACCTACCAAAAGATATTGTAAAAGTAGTAAAACATAACTTTATATAACCACGTTAAAATTGATTGGATAAAATAGTTTTGCTATAATCCAAATTTAATTTTCAAATAAATAATAATTTACTCGATTATATTACTTAGAAGAATATGTTATTCATATCATTAAGACATAGCAATAATTAACTAAATGGATCCGCAACTCTTAGGGACTATCCGCATCGTGATTTTCAATCGCGCGGATTTTATTTCGCAATGGCATAACACGTTGTCCGCGTTGCGTTTAAAATTCGGTGCTATTTTTGTCAGCTTTATGTAGCTCTAGGTTGATACAAACTTCTAAAAAACCGGCCATGTGCGAGCCGGACTAGCTCGAAATGAACAAAAAAATCACGTTTGTTGTATGGGAGCCCCCTTAAATATTTATTTTGGTTTTTAGTATTTGTGAAAATTTGAACTGTTTAACTTTCACGGTTCAATAGATAAAGCCTGGTGACAGACAGACAGCGAAGCCTTAGTGATAGGGTTCCCATTTTACCCTTTGGGTACAGAACCCTAAAAATGAACTACAGAATAATTTTAATTTGTTTGATTCAATTCAACGTACGAGTACATTTCTTTCCACAACCTCGTTTTCAATTGCCTATCATGGTAGTTTGTCCCATAGGGGATGCCAATTTTGAATTCGCATTATAAATATTTAAATATCAATTTCGTCACTAGACGGAAGACGAACCGCGTAACATCTTCTAACCGCTAGTGCTGATGCATGACTAAGCAACCACGAAAATCTGTAGTTTAGTAAACGCTTTTTTTCACAATACAAAATAAATATAAATTGCGACAGTCCCTTACATACACATGTTATTACATAATGCAATTACATAAAGACATTGTGGCAAGGTCATTGCCAGCGAGACAGGCATAACAAGTTATTATTTGTAACTCTACATTTTTTTACAACGGAATCATGGAAAATCTGTTTATCTAACAACTAAAGAAGTTTAGGGCTGGATTGCAACTTACCTATAATAGCAGGTCAAGTTATTTCCTATGTCAAATTTGATGATATCTGTAACGGTGACGTTAACATTGACAGCGGAACACGTTGCATTATCCTCTTTCTTGGCAACAAAAACAATAATTTTAAAGGTGGTTATAGTCATGACGTCACATAGCCATTGTCAAATGGTACAACTTGTTATTTGCTTGACCGGTACTTTAACATGTTTGTTATTATTGAAGTAAGTTGTAAAGAGTTTGACTCTTTGTGTTCTGTTTTTGATATCAGATTATATGGTAAAGTCGATGAATAAAATGAATATACCTAACAACGACATGATTGAACACATAAATTAATAAAATAAATCACCATCTTTACAATAGTCTAATAAACTGAACACATTCAGTGTTTATTCATTTATTTTAATTAAACACACATCCTAATATATTTAAAATACTACATTTAAAACGTTCTTTATTAATTCATTAAACATTTCAGAAATAACACCACAGTTTAATATTTTATTTAAAAAGAAACAAAACCCATCCTTCTCACAAAAAAATGTGTTCAGCTGTAGTGAACTGTACAAAATCTTGATTTTTTTTCTCTGTCGGCGACCCCCAAGTAAAGCGCCAGCACTCTAGATGTCGCGACTTACAGATTAAAAAATACTGGCTTATATCGTCAAGAAGTTAAAAATTCCTTATAAATAATAATAACATCACATACATTACGCATATGAATTAGATAAAACACTTTTATTATTGAAATTCGAAACAAAAAGGTCAAAACGACCACAACACCAAAATGACACAGATGATATATTATAATGTCAGAGATGAAATAAAAAAATCTGGAGAAAAGTATCTGCAGTGTACATAATTAAGTTGCAATCCTGATGGATTATCTAATTATCTGATCAGCTTCGGTCCCGAGGGAAGAATTGTGATTAACAAAACCATTACTGAGTATTTATTTACGGTAACTCTATTTGGTAAATGATTAGATTAATTTATGGGCAAATTAAAACGAATTTCGTTTTTTAATATTGCTATTAATAATTTGATATTAACTTCAATATTTATTGACATTTTCATGTTGATATTAAACATTAAGCTTTAATAAGTATTAATCTTTTTAGTATTTTAGGGCTAACTTTGTGATACTCGTATTTGAGAAAATTCACTTTTTGGCTGTGATAAATCCCTTACAAATACACCAGTTACCTCAGTTTTAATTACAGCTTATTTTTATGAGATTTTTTTGTACAAAATCAGTTGATAGTTAGTAATTTTATTATGAACGCCTTTTTAAGATGACCAATTATTTTTAAAGTTCAATTGCTCAAAACCACGTGATCTATGATTAAAACCATTCACAAAAAATTCAATGTATGTATTTTAGTTGATATCTTAGCCTTGATTCTGGGGAGTATTTTTAAATCTCAATCTGACATATTTATGTAAAAACTATGTTGTGGCTATTATGAAAGCAAGCTGGAGAATCCGTATTATCACAATAATGTGTGAATAGTCACTCAACTGATACGTTTTTATTCCATATACCTACAATTGTAAGAATTTCAAACCATTTTGTAGGAATGTAAACAACATTTTCTTTGTATTAACATACAAATGATTGCGTGTTTAGATTCCATGATTGCTATCGTTCTGCTCAGCTTTATTATTATGAATGAACAAAAAGTTATTGTTCATTATTAATAGTTTAAAATGCACCATACGAATAAAGAATGTCATTGCTATCTTTTATTACTAGTAATGAACGTGACACGTTAATTTTTTTCATTGTGTGATAATTTTATTTTTATAGGTCGGTTTACTTTTAAAACCAAGTTACGCGATTTCATTTTAAATCAGGCAGAATTTAATAAATAAATAATGTATACTACACCATTACGGTTACTAGCATTACTTCAGAAATATATTTTTTGAATTTATTATTTGTCTATATTAATTATCATATAAATTGTTTCTTTGTACGTATCAAATGCCGTAGGAACCAAACATGATAAAAAAAGAACTATCAATAAATGTATTTATCAATAATATACTACTAGAAGCAGAAAGAATATTCATAAAAATATATTTACCTATATTGAAAATTGACATTGATCAATAAATTAAAATAATTAAGAGGCTGCGCCATCTATTAATAATCAAATAAACTACATATACGTGACTTTTCACCCGTACTGTATATTCTATGCCCGAACAGCATTAAATCAAGCATGTTTATTTTTTCAAAAATCAAGGAAAACGTGTTGCTTTTATTTTACTAAACAAAAACATGATTTCATTTTACGCTGATTTAGTTCGATGTTCAAAGGAAAAAGTAGCTTTCAATAAGCTCGGTCAGCGAAAACAAAGTGGTTTTAGTGCAGACTAAGGGCTCTCGTTGCCGCTTCCTTCCTCATTTATATGCAGCCCAGGCGAACTAATCTCATCGACCAAGGGTGCTTTATGGTCCACAGATAAAATGTTGAACCAGGCCGTTGGGGCACTAGTCTTTACAACACTTGCATGCCTCGGTAGGTCCTTTTTCTTGTTAAAATAATACGCGCCATCCTGGCGTTTTACGGATGCATTTATATTATAATAATTACCATACCGACTGCACGCATTAAGCTTTTACTATCATCGACGACAATTTTCGTCTATACACATTATGTAAGTTTTCCTTTTTTTGGCATAGGGGGAATGCTTTATACACCGCTTAACAGCATACCTATTAAGCCCCCTCCGATGCACCTTCACTTTTGGGGGA